TGTGCCCCATAGCAAAAAACCAAAATTATATATATATGTGTGTGTGTGTGTGTGTGTATGTGTGTGTGTGTGTATACATAAAATTAATATATATGCATGTTGGAATCAAAATTATATATACAGGGAACCAGCAGTTAGCGTAATGGCTATGTCGCTGGACTCCCACGTAGTCGACCGCAGTTCGTGTCCCAGACCTGGTGGCTTAAAACTCACACCGGGCGCATGTGCGTGTGTGCCCAAGATCCCGAGAGGAGAATGGAGGAGAAGGGATTGCGGCGTGACCATCCCCCTTGGGGGGTGATTTCTCGCTTTCTGTCTCTCTGTCTCTCGCTGTCTGTCTGGCGAGCGCACGCGCCCTACAGTGAAAATCTCTCAAAAAAATTATATATACAAAGAAAATATTAATACACACATATATACACAAACAAAAACCTCAGATGTTGGAATTATCACAGATTAGGAACAATGTTTACTAAGTTTAAAGAAAGAAAACAATGGATATGAAAGACAAAAATCAATGAAAATGGCTACCTCAAGGCAGAAGAGGAGGAAGGAAGAAAGAAGGGACAAGGATGAAAATGAGATTTTTCAGTTTAGAATTTGGAATATGTAAATGCTTTATATATTTCAAAAATCAAATCAAATCTAAAGGAAAAAAGGGCCCAGCCACTTTGATGCAGGCAGTAGTCAACTGATTCAGTTGAAAGCACAGGTTCAGCCATGGGTTTGGATCCTGAGTCAACTAGATACATGCTGGGTGTATTTCCCTGGCTAGAAGGCTATATAGGAAGGTGACTGAGGCATAACAAGACTCTGTTGAGAGTGTCCTCCCTCACGAAATAAAATACAGTTTTTAAAAAAATCATGCCAAGTAGCATTTGTGTGTGTCCAAAGTCCCAAGAGGAAAATGGAGAAGGGATTGTGGTGTGGTCATCCCCGACTGGGGATGCTTACTCTCTCTCTCTCCAGTGAGTGCGTGTGCCCTAATAGCAAACTAAATAAATAAACAGGCACTTTACCTATAATTTAAAAGAAAAAAGTAATCTCAAAAACAGGAAAACAGGGGCCAGCAGGTAGTGTGGTGATTAGGGCACTGGACTCCCATATGGCAGACTGCAGTTCAGGTCCAGACTTGGTCACTTCCCCTCTCTCTGATGAGCACATGTACCCTATAGCCATTTAAAAAATAATAATAATAAATAAAATTAAATAATTAAAAAAAGAAAATAAACCAAACCAAATACACCTGTCTGTAAAAATACAGTGTAGGGGCTAGCAGGTGACGTGATTAAGGGTGCTGGACTCCCACATGGCCAACCACGGTTGAGTCCCAGACCTGGCAGCTTGCTTTCTCACTTTCTTTCTTTCTCTCTCTCTACCCCCAACCCAGTCAAATTAAAATAAAGAAATTTAAAAAATAAAGTTAAATAAAAATAGTTCTTTAACAAATACAGAATATGCACTGTACATATTTTTTGAGAGATTTTTGCTATAGGGCGCGTGCGCTTGCCAGACAGACAGAGAGAGACAGAGAGACAGAAAGCGAGAAATCACCCCCCAGGGGGGATGGTCACGCCGCAATCCCTTCTCCTCCATTCTCCTCTCGGGATCTTGGGCATGCACGCACACGCGCCCGGTGTGAGTTTTAAGCCACCGGGTCCGGGACACGAACCGCGGTCGACTACGTGGAAGTCCAGTGACATAGCCATTACGCTAACTGCTGGTTCCCGCACTGTACATATTTTGAAGGATTTAGTTGAAGGGAAAAAAAAGAACTGAAAACAATTTAAATTTCATCTACTAATCTCCTATTATTGTAATATTAATTTCAAACAGTTTTATATATGCTGTTTGATAAATCAAGCAAGCTATGAAGGTAAGAAAAGAAAGCAAAAGGAACATCAGAAAAATTGCTGATGTTCTATGTAGCTAAATTCTATGTAGCTAAGAAATAAAATTTGTATTCAAGTTTGAAATCCATCAATGCATTGTTGATAGCCTATGTATTACTTTTTCACTATCTGATCCCTGACTACACTTCAAAATCTCATCTCCTACCACAGACTAGCTCAGTGGCTCTCAACTCTTGTTGTGTATCAGATCTATTCTACCTTTTTTTTCTTTTAGTTGTCAGAGGGTGTGTGTATACACTGGAAAAAGACAGAGAGAGGGAGAGAGGGAGGAAGAAAACACCTCTCCAAGGGGCGTGGTCACACTGCAATCCCTTCTCCATTTCTCTGTCCTAAAGCAAAAGGAACATCAGAAAAATTGCTGATGTTCTATGTAGCTAAATTCTATGTAGCTAAGAAATAAAATTTGTATTCAAGTTTGAAATCCATCAATGCATTGTTGATAGCCTATGTATTACTTTTTCACTATCTGATCCCTGACTACACTTCAAAATCTCATCTCCTACCACAGACTAGCTCAGTGGCTCTCAACTCTTGTTGTGTATCAGATCTATTCTACCTTTTTTTTCTTTTAGTTGTCAGAGGGTGTGTGTATACACTGGAAAAAGACAGAGAGAGGGAGAGAGGGAGCAAGAAATCATCCCCCAGAGGGGCGTGGTCACACTGCAATCCCTTCTCCATTTCTCTGTCCTGTCAAGATATGGAGCACACATGAACATGCATCCAACACCAAGTCTGGGATGCAAACTGTGGTGAGCTATGTGTGATTTGGCTTCCTTTAATCAGTAGGCTACAGGGCCAGCCCCAGATCCATTATATTTAAAAAGCAGATCCTGAATATCACCCTAGAGTTATTAAATCAGTTTCAGACTAGAAAGCAACCAAGGGATGTACACTCTGGAATAGCACCCTGAGTAATTGTGCTGCTTAGTGCAGAATCACTGCTCCGGCCTTATAACAATTTCTACTGCAAGTTCCTCATACACTGCACTTGGAATAGCCTAAAGCCCATTTTTGTAGATAAATTTTTATGTCCATTTGTTTATGGATTGTCAATGGCTGTCTTCACACTTCAACAACAAAGTGAAGTGTCAGTAGTCTTGACAGAGATCATATAGCCTCCAAAGCTTGAAGTATTTATAATCTGGCCTTCCACAGAAAAGATTTGCTGACCTCTGTTCTATCTTTGCATTTTAAATACTACTCCTGTCTTACAAACTTATGCTCATTCTTCAAAATTGATTAGCATCACTTCCACAATGCCCAAAATTTATATTTTTTATCGTTCACTATACTTTCCCTATTCAATTTCTCAGCATCGTTTATTCATTTTTTTTTTTTTTTCCTTTAGGGCACGTACGCTCACCAGAAAAGAGAGAAACAGAGAGACAGAAAGCGAGAAATCACCACCACCACCACCCCCGGGGGGGATGGCCACACCGCAATCCCTTCTCCTCCATTCTCCTCTCGGGATCTTGGGCATCCATGCACACGCACACAGCATGAGTTTAAGCCACTGGGTCTGGGACTCAAACCGTGGTTGACTACATGGGAGTCTAGTGACATAGCCATTACGCTAACTGCTGGTCCCATCATTGTTTATTCTAAGATGTCTACTTAATGACTTCCTCCCTGAATGCACTGTAAGCTCTAAAAGCATAACATCAAGTTATATTTACTATAGTGTCTGGTTCCTTTTTTGCATGTATTAAACATTTATTCAATGAATATTTCCCTCACCCTATACAGTTTTTACTGTTTTATTTCTTTAGATGTTTTAATGTTCTAGCCTTTTAAGGGAATTCTGAAACTAGATTCTATCAGGGTATTTACAATCCCACCCTGTTTTGTCAGTGATGAAATTGATATGTATATCATTTGAGTTCCTCCCCAAGTTATTGATAATGTTGAAAATGACATGGCTGAGGGGCCAGCAGGTAGTGTAGTGAGTGGTTAAGATGCTGGACTCCCACATGGCCAACCATGTTTGAGTCCCATACCCAATGGCTTGAAAATCATGCTGGGCACATGTGTGTGTGCACGCCAAAAATCCTGAGAAGAGACTACAGAAGGGACTGCAGCATAGTCATTCCACTAGGGGTGATTTCTCAGTTTTTTCCTGTTTCTCTGTGGTGAGAACATGAGCCCTATTAAAAAAGGAAGGAAGGAAGGAAGGAAGGAAGGAAGGAAGGAAGGAAGGAAGGAAGGAAGGAAGGAAGGAAGGGAAAAGAAAAGAAAAGAAAAGAAAAGAAAAGAAAAGAAAAGAAAAGAAAAGAAAAGAAAAGAAAAGAACAGAACAGAAAAAGAACCAGCAGTTAGCATAATGGCTATGTGGCTGGACTCCCACGTAGTCGACCGCAGTTTGCGTCCTGGACCCAGTGGCTTAAAACTCATGCTGGGCACGTGTGCGTGCGTGCCCAAGATCCCGAGAGGAGAATGGAGGTGAAGGGATTGTGGCATGGTCATCCGCCCTGGGGGGTGATTTCTTGCTTTCTGTCTCTCTCTGTCTTTCTGGCAAGCGCATGCACCTAAAGCAAAAACCTCCCCAAAAAAAGAAAAAAAAAGAAAAGAAAAGAAAATGACAGGACTGAAGATAAAGCTGAGAAGACATCGCCTACCACTCATCTACATACTGACATCAATCCATTAAATCAGCAGTCTTCAGGTAATACTCTAATTATAATATTATTTAGCCTGTACTTTCCATCTTGTCTAAGGGATTTTTTTTTAAGAACTTCCACTTCTAAGAAGACTATCCTTATCTGGCAGCATCTCTACCAAGTAGAACTGAATCAGTTGCTTCCCCATCTTTCTCACTACTGTACCTTTTATCACTTCACCACACTGTATTGCAGCAATTTGTTCACAAGTCTGTCTCTGCTATAAGGCCTAGCTCTCTTAGAGGGTATAGACTTACTTAAGTTAAATGAATCTGTAGAACCTAGAGCAACGCCCATAATTTAGTTGGTACTAAAAAAAGAAACTGCTGACCATGTTTTGCAATTCAGACTATCTACATTGATGGCATAGCCTAATTCTGCCATCATAGTATTACTATCCAAAATCTAAACAACCTTTAAACAACCTTACCTGTAGCAAAAAGGAAACAGCATAACTCAATAGAGAAGGGTGATAGACTAAATTTAAACTGTTCTTATACTCTGTTACTCCAGCTTTTTCCAGGGTTTTGGGATCAAGATGCATTCCTTTCTCAAAGGGTCTCGAGGTCCACAGGCAACCAAACATGGCTGTTAAATAGTAATTAAATTCTTGGTAAGTCTTGCTGCTAAAATTAAACTCTGATTTTGCCTATTAGAAAAGAAAAAAAGACGGTCATTATTACCTAGTCTCTCTCTCCTTCATATTACCAGTAGGTCATGTATATATACATTCAGTATTTAAACAACAATGGTTTAACACAGAGGTTTATTGTTCATACCTTGTGTACCAATTCATTTTTCTTTGCAGCAGACAAATTTTTACGATACCTAATAGGAAGAACAAGAAGAATGAAATGTTTAACATGAATGTAATGCCATAGAAATGTAAAATAAACAAAAGTAGACATTTTAAATGTAAATACAGTTAATGTGCACATAAACATCCAGTTGTCTAGCTAAGTTTTGCAAACTTTTGAGATAAATTCTCCTCAAAGAATAGAAATTAACAGAGGCTTGAAACAGAGTCGTACATTTAAAAAATGTACACTCGGTTATACGTAAGTTATAGCCCAATAGAAAATAAAAACTTCTACTCAAGTGGCTTACCTGGAAAAAAATTATTAACCCAATTAAAAGATGGGAAAATGAGCTGAATAGACAACTGTCTAAGGAAGACATATGAACAGCCAAAAAGCATATGAAAAAATGCTCAACATCCCTCATCGTAAGGGAGATGCAGATCAAAACCAAAATGAGATAACACCTAACCCCAGTCAGAACGGCAAAGATTAAAAAAAAAAAAAAAATAAGTGTTGGTGGGGATGTGGTGAAAGGAGAACTCTCTTACATTGTTGGTGGGAATGTAAATTGGTCCAGACACTGTGGAGAACAATATGGAGATTCCTCAAAGACCTTCAAATAGAACTGCCACATGATCCAGCAATTCCACTCTTAGATATCCAAGAAAAGCACTTACACAGCTATATTTATTGCAGCATCATTCACGATTTTGAGACATGGAACCAACCCAAATATCACAAACAGATGAATGGATTGAAAAAGTGTGGCACATGTACACTATGGAATACTATTCAGCCATAAAAAAAAACAAGACCCTGCCATTTGATAGAAAGGAGATGAACATGGAAGAACTATTGCTGAGTGAAGCAAGCCAGGCTATGAAACAGAGACACTGTATGTCTCCACTTAACATACACCAACTGTCTACACTCTATGGTAGAGACTGAAAGACTGGAGGACATAAAAGCACTGAAAATTGTTATGGACACTGGGGACAAAGTGGAAGGGAGAGGGGAAGAGTGCAGGAAGGGAAATTGGGGAAAACTGGAGAAGTAAGACATTTGTGGGACACAGATATAGCTTGTTGTCTGTTGGTGATGTCGTGTACAATAATCTCAATGCGCCTGCTGCACGGCATTTATCATGTTGGGTAAAATCTCTTTACAAACTAAATATGTATAATGATTGAATGTATAAATAATAATTATCATGATTATAAAATGATGTAAAATAAATACATAAATAAAATAAAGCTTAAAAAAAGGAAAATCTTCTGAAAGAAATGCTTTTAATGGGGGCTGGCAGGTGGCATGGTGGCTAAGAGCGCTGGACTCCCACTTGGCCTACCACTGTTTGAGTCCTGGACCTGGTAACTTGCTTTCTCACTTTCTCTCTCTCTCTGGTCAAATTAAAATAAAGGTAAATAAAATAATTATTTTTTTAAAAAAGAAATGCTTTTAATGTTTCTCTATTAAAAACTTAAATAAAGGTTCAAAAGCAGATAGTCACTGATACAAAATATATTATCTTAAGGTAAAAAAGAGGTACAGCACAAAGGATAAAGGGAAAATTTAGAAATGTAATATTTTTCTTGCCTGAGAACTATAATCTATATTACCAAATTTATTATTCAACATTTAACCTTGGCATGGTTCTACAAGTTATGCCCAAAATGTCTATAGCTATGGATTGAAAGGAATAATTTCAGTCCACAGTGAAAGAATTAGAGATCAGTAATAATACCTCTGGTTTCACATAATTGACAATATCTCCAAGAAAATGTTTTTTACCAGAGAAGCTATGTACACTTAAACAAGCTGTTAGCAAATGACTACTTTTCCTGTAAGATACATCAATTAAAAAGCAAACCCTGTGGCCTGGTGATTATAGGTCAAAGATCCCACATGGCCCACCACTGTTCAAGTACCAGCCTCAGTTGCTCGAAAAACATTGTGTGTGTTTGTGCATGTATGCCTAGGATCTCAACAGGATGGAGAAGAAATTACAGTGTGACCACGTCCCATTAAGGGGGTTGCTTCCTCCCTCTCTTTCTCTGGGAAATGCATGTACTCTCTAGCAATTAAAAGAGAATAAGAGGGCCAGCTGGTGGCATTAGATTGGGACAGCTGGATCCCACATGACTGACTGTGTGGTTTGAGTCAGCGGCTTAAGTGACAGGCTAGGCACATATGCGTGCATGCCCAGAGTCCCAAGGTGAGGGAGAGATGTAAGAGAGGGAATTGCAGTGTGACCATGCCCCATGGAGGTATCTCTGGCTTGCTTGCTCGATTTCTCTCTCTCACACTCACTCATTCCCTCCTTCCAGCATGAGCCCTCTGGCAAAATTTAAAAAGAAAGAAAAGGGGAAGGAAAGGTGGGAAGAAGGAAAAGAAAAGAAAAGAAACACCACCAAAAAAAAAAGAAAAAGAAAGAAAAGAAAAGAAAAAAGAAATGAAACAGCAATTAGAATTTAAAATGCTGGCTCTCCAGTCTAACAGTTAAGGCAGCTGGATCCATGTGTTTCCAAATTCCTGACAGGATGGAGAAATGGGAGAGAAGGGATTGTGGCATTTCCATAGCCTGTCGCGGGTGCTTTCTCCCTCTCCCTCTCTTTCTCTTTGGCAAGTTGAAACACCCTCTGGCAAATAAAAAAAAATATGCTAAATACAACGGAACTATTCCAGAACAGATCCTTTACTATGGATATTTTAAATTTCACATCCTGGGGCTGGCAGGTGGCGCTGTGCTTAAGGGCACGGGATTCCCACATGGGTGACCATGGTTCAAGTCCTGGACCTGCCAGCTTTCTTTCTCTGTCCCTCTCTGGTCAAATTAAAAT